AAACCTAACAGAGATCTCAAAGGAAAAGTACACATCAGTATTTCTTTTGAGTACAGACACAAAAATGCTAGACAAAATATTAGCAAACATATAAAAAAGCATATAGCAACATGTAAAAAGAAGTCTATGCTTTGATCAATTAGCATTTATCCCAGGAATGCAAAATGATTTAACATCCAAAAGCTAATGCAATGATTCATATAATAAAGGATAAAAACCATATGAAAATCTCCATAGATACAGAAAAAACTTTTAAGATTCAATACCCATTCCTGATACAAAGCACTGAACAAACTAAGAATATAAAGGAATTTTCTCAGTCTAATAAAAGAGACTTATAAACAATCCAAAGCAAACATCATACTTAATGTTGAAGACTAAATGTATTCCCCCTAAGATTAGAAACAAAGTAGCAATATTCACAACCATTACTCCTACTCAACATTTTATTGGAGGTTCAGCCCTGGGCAAGTAGGCAAGAAAAAGAAATAAATGGTGAATGGATTTCAAAAGATATAACACTAATTCTATCTACAAATGAAATTTTCTTGAATACACACACAAAAAAATCCACTTGAAAGCTAGTAGAATTCATAACATCCTCAGCAAGGTTGCAGCATAAATCATGAATCTATAAAAAAAATGGGATCACTATAAACTTCCAATAAAAATTGAAAATGAAAATAAGTAAAACATTCGATTTTTAATAGCATCAAAACATTGAAATATTTACCGCTAAAATTGACAAAAGTAGTGCAAAGCTTCTGTTGTAAATAGTAAAAGACAATTAAAAGATTTTTTTAAAGATTGAATTAAATGGAAAAACGTCCCTGTCCAGACTGATATTTCCTCAAAATGTTAAATATAAAGATACCATATGTATAAGACAGCAATTCTAACCCCAGGTAGGCACTCAAGAGAACTGAAAACATGTGTACACAAAAACTTGTCCATAAATTTTTATAGCAATGTTATTCACAGTAACTCCAAAGTGGCAATAATCTCAAGTGCCCATCATTGATGACTGGCTAAGCAGAATATGGAATATAACTACAGAGCGGAATTTTTTGCCAATAAAAGGAATGAAAAATTGATACAGGCTACAATGTAGATGAATCTTGAAAATATCATGCTATGTAAAAGAAGCCAGACACAAAAGAACACTTATTACGTGATTCATTGACAGGAAAGTCCAGAACAGGAGCATGTATGGAGGCAGAAAGTAGATCAGCAGTTGCTGGAGGTGAACTCTTATTTGTTCCATAGACACCGCGACTGTTGGATCAGTGGTTTAGAATGCGGCCTCTTGTACTGGAATGCCTGTGTTCAAATCCTGGCTCCTCCCCCTCATTACAGAGATTTGGGCAAGTCACTTAACCTCTCTGAACCTCAAAAATGGGATTTCATTATATCAGAAAGAAAAGAATTTTTGCCTAGGCATTATTTTTTAATGTGGGTTGTGCCAAATTCAATTTTTAAAAAGCTTTTCCCCAGTTTCAGGGCATACTTTAGTGTTCTGTGTAAGGATTAGATGAAGACCACATTGAAACACTGTAAAATTAAATATATGGCGGTCATTGTTATTTGTGGATGTTAAATTAAGATAATCACTTAACAAAATGATTTTTTTTTAAATCTAGAAAGCAAAGTTTGTTCAGAAAATATTTAGTGAATACATACCTTTTGTGCTGATTTTATTATCTAGTGGTTAAGTTCTTAGAGGCCAGGGTTAGAGAACCTTCTTTCTGCCAAGGGCCATTGGATGTTTATAACATAATTCACAGGCCATACAAAATTATCGACCCTAAAATTAGCCTGATATAGATTTACTGAATTTTGAGTCCTATATGCCGTTGCCCTGGCAGGGTCAGACCAAATGATTTCACAGTTCTCATGAGGCCCGAAGGCCAGGTGTTCCCCATGCCTACAAGATTTATAGGCTAACCATCTCATATTTATATTCTCCTTTTTCTGGTCTTGAACTTGGTCTTCTTGGTCTTTCCTGATCATTTGCTGTCCAAGTTACAAACAAACAAACAAACAAACAAAAAAACCTTAAAAAAACAGCTGAGAAGGATCACTGGCCTTTGTAAAGCTGAGCATATACCTAAATCTTCCATCTGAGGCAAATGCTTTAGAGCTGCGAGAAAACGGATGTAGACTAAAACTTAGTGATCTTGTCCTTAGACAACCTTTCATTCTAAAGCAGCCCAAAGAACCCCAGCAACTCAGAACTGTGGCTGAAGCACTCAAAAGAGGTTTATGGTGGTGTAAAGGGAAGGGATTTCCAAGAGTGTGCTCTTATTTCACACTGATAACATAATTGCTCCCAAAATATAATAGTCCACAAGCCTAGTTCAAATTTCAAATTCAAATTAGTGTTTGTTCCCAGGCATTTTTCAGTGGAAAAAGATACATATCCTTATATATATACAAGACTATGGAGTTTTTGCTTGAATTTATTAATTTTGCATCTGTATCTACTTTGTTCCCTATGGAAATTCAAGTTCTCTCTGACACCCACATAATTGTAAATTTCCTTCAAACCACAACACAGACAGCAGTCGCAAAATACTAATATAATCACTGAAAATAACATTTGGTTTTATCACTGACTTCAATGCTCATTAAGTCACATTATGATTTTTGAATCACCTGGAAAAGTTCATCACTATGGAGCTATGCCAACAACTCATTAAACAGCTGAATTTTATTTTATCGTTTTCTTTTCCTGTTTAGGAATTATTTAAAAGTTTCACAATTATGTAAATTATACATTGTCCCGAATTTAAATTTAAAAAGCAATGTATTAAAGCCAAGTATTTTCAGAGAATTCTACCTTCTTTCCCTGTTCCTTACACTGTTTTTCTCTACTTCCACCTCTAATGCTATTACTTTCTAAAAATTATGGTTTATATCTCCATTAATATAAATCCTTCTTTCTTGAATGGTAGCATTCTATAAGTACTTTTGACCACCATGAGATCATAGCATAAAAGTATACAAAGATTTTTCCCATTACTTTTAATTTTTTTGAAAAGCAGAGAGGGACAGACAGAGACAGACAGATTTTACATATGCTAATTCACTTCCCAAATGCCAAAGAGTCCAGAACTCTATCTGGGTCTCCCAGGGGAGTGGCAGGTACCCACCTACTTAGCCATCACCTGCCACCTCTCAGGGTACACATGACAGAAGCTAGAACTGGAAGCAGAACCAGGACTCAAACCCAGGCACCCTGATATGGGATATGGATTTCCCAAGAGGTGTCCTAACTGCTGTGCTAGCTGGTGCCCCCATCCTGCCCCATCCCACCCCAATCCACTACTTGTTATAGCTGCAGGTTATACTCTTCTCTGAAGCATTGTATCTTCATCAGTCAGTCATTCACTGATGGATATTTTTCTTGGTATCCATTTTTACACATTTGTAAGTAACACTGTAAGAATACCATTGTGTGTATATCATTTGGTCTATTTTCCACTTGCCTTTGAGGCAGATTCCTCAATCTTTAGAAAGATTGCTGAGTCAAATTGTAGCTGCTTATTTTTCATTTTACCAGATTTTGTCCAATTCCACTTCACCTTTTTTCATTTCTGCAAACAATTCATGAAAGTACTTGCTTTCCCAGAATCTTGTCTTAGTCAAAAATTATTGTTATATTTGGAGTTTTGCTACTCTGTTGGGTAGATGCCACATTTCTTCTATTAAGAATGAATAAGGTTGAGCAGCTTTGTATATATTTAAGGAACATTTGCAAGGCCCTTTCTGAGAATTGTGCATTGATATTTCTATCTTTTTAATTTTTTTCGGTGGTGTTTCTTCTTTATTTTTAGAATCCTCCATGTTTGGCTTATTAACCTTTTGTACTATAGATAGCCAAGCATTTTCCAGTTCAGCATTTATCTTTTTATTTCACTGGGTGTTTTTCAGAGTAGGTAAATGCTCTCTTTTGGGGAACAAGTTTTTAGCCTAGCCAGTGTGAGTGCCATTGTGAGTGCCACCTGACTCCAGCTTCCTGCCAATCTAGACCTTGGGGGCAGCAGTGATGGTTCAGGTAATCAAGTTCAAGGTAAACACCTTCTTGGGAGACATGGATAGAGTTCCCAGCTTCTGGCTGTAGTCTGGCCCAGATCCAGCCATTGTGGGCATTAGAGGAATAAACAATATGGGAGTTCTTTCTCTGTTTCTCTCTGCTTTTGGCACTCTCTCTCTCTCTCTCTCACACACACACACACATTCTCTCTGCCTCTAAAATTTAAAAAAAGATTCTGTGTTTTGGGGTATATAATAAAATTTATTTTCCCTTGGCTTTAAGTATAGTTAGAACATTTTTTCCTATAAACCTTGTTTTAAGAAATTCACACATGCATTTTTTTCCAAAGACAGATTTGATTTTATATTAAACATTTGAATCTGACTCATTTACAATTCATTCTGCTTATACAAGCCTAGGAAATTCCTAAAAGCTTACCAAGCATGAACTAGTACAAGCAGCTCCACTCCGCCACTCATTGCAGATAGAAAGTGCCATTCTCATTGACAAAGTATTGGCTTGAGAACCATGAGCTGCCTCTTTGTGATGTTTAATTTTATGTTTTTGGTTATGACTGTATGATTCATCAAGTCAGAGAAATCCCTGACGACTCAAAATTTTCAACTCAGAAACCTCTTTGAACATTGAGAAAATGTTTCACTATTCTTGACAAATAGTACATTATAGCTTTGGGGCAAATATATCACTCTTTGGGGAAAAAGTGCTATTCTTCTAGTTGAAGATTTCTTTTTAGTATAAAACATCAGTTATTCAACTATATAACAATTCCAGTACTTCCAGGAACAAGAAACAGGGACCTAGATGTAGCGAGACAAACATGTGCTAAATAGTCTTGATTCTAACAGATTGGAACTATTACATATTACAGCCTATCCATTCTTTCATGTTTAGAGAATTCATCACCCCAAATGTACACAAAAATACAATCTACAGAAAGACTCACCACTACTGGAAGCATCATTTAGATTAAGCAGTCCCCCTCCTAGCCCTCTGTAACTATGGTAACTGTAGGTCCCGTTGCCATTGATGTACAACACCTCCTGTGAGCCTGGAGCAGCTGATGTCGAGTAAGTGGCCTGGGCTGCTTCAGGTTTACACTGTTTGTCGGCTGCAGCAGACTCATCCTGCAAAGACAGATAGTGTCCCATTACTTGTCAAGTCACTGTGCAACTTCTCCTTCAACAGGACGATCTCAGTGTCATCTGCATGGCTGCATTACGTAAGAAAAAATATTAAAGCATTAAGTAAGTACATATGCACTTGTTCAACAACTTGACTAAAAGAAAAATAAAGAAAGGAAACTCTCAGTGTGGGCAGAACAGTTTACAATTTTGCATGGAATTTAAAATTACATGAAGCAAGTTACTTACAATAGCCAGGAGGAAAAGCTGCTGAAATACCCATTGCCAGAAGAGTGAATAAAGAAAATATGAAATATTCATATGGTGGATATTATTTAGCCTTCAAATAAAAGGAAATCCTGTCATCTACTACAAAACAGTTGTTAACTTATGGACATTGTGCTAAATGAGATAAGCCAGTCACACACAGAAAAGAAGTATTGATATGAGGTATTCTAAGTAGTTAAACTCACAGAAATAGAAACTAGAATGATGGTTTGCAGGGCCTGGGGCCAGGCAAGTGGAGGATCATTCTGTGAATGTAGTGTTTTAGTCATAGTGGGTAGAGAACAGGTCTAAGGTACTACTGCACAATTAAGTTACATGTGGTTGACAACACGGTACTGTTGGGAAAAGGAATTATATGTTGAATTTTTTAAAGAAGAAATTAGCAATGACTTAAAGGTTACATGAAGGAACATTAAACAGAATGCAGAGACATTTAGCCAAGCGTGGGTTTTTGCACCTTGTTCTTCTTCTTTTGGTTCCCTCCTCTCCTCTCCCCCTTTCCTTCCTCCTTTCCTTTCCTTTCTCTTTTTCTTCCTTCCTCCACTCCATCTCTCTCATTCTCTTTTGATTTTATAGTTAAAAATTAGGAAAACTTATTGAGTTCCTTCTCCCAGGTAGGCCTATCACAGGCATTACAACAGCCTGGCAAAGGCGTTAATAAACACCCAGGGCTTTCAGCTTTTTGGTTTTGGTCTTGTTTTTAAGCTGAACTGGTATCCTCAACATTTGCTTCAAACCACCCAACCATGTCAAGTTGTGAGAAAATAAAAAAAAAAAATCTTAATTTACAATGAATCATATATATTTCAGTGGTAAAAGACAAAGTGAATTTTCCTTCAGCTGTTAGTTTATAAAGCCTAAAATAGTTATATTAGTTATATACAACCTCACATGCCTATACATTCTTTAAATTTTGTAATTTCTTTGTTTTTAACAAGAAAAAATTATAAACAATTTTCTAGTGAATTCTTAGGAGTGTTTTATTTTTCACAATCAGAAGGATTTTGCAGTTTTTAAATTTAGAGTATATGGTTAGTTGAAGAAGTAACATCTGTTGTGACTCCAACTCGTAAAGAAGAAACATCCACTATTTTGCTGTATGGGAGGAGTAGTACTATCATACCGAGAAGCAGTCTCAGCTTTCACACAGTGAAAGCTTCGCTGGGACCATCGGCACCACAGTCATGACTGTGCTCTCCTTTCTTCAACTGTAACTGATCCATTCAACTCAGACCATAAACACGCCAGCTACAGGCTTTCACCTTTTCCTTTGCAGCAGAATTCCGAAAAACTGATTCACTCATCTAGTGAGCTAGCACACAGCACAAATCTCGAATTAAATCAAAGTGAATCGGGAAAAGAGGGAAGTTAAAAGGAAAACAGGGTATAACCTAAAAATATTGAACTTTGATGGAAATTCATTTTCACAGCAATGTGTCTTTACAAAACAACCACAAATGATAATTTTGAGATATACATCATACTAACATGAATTGACCTAAAACTGGAATATCTGATTGTAATTTAAACTCTTCCCATATAACCCTTAGACATCCATGAGAGCAAACACTATCGCCAACATTTCTCTTAGGAGAAACTGCCTGACAGTGGCCACTACATAGAACCAAATTCTGCTGGTACTGCTGGCTGTACTATTTAGGTTGAGAAGTCAGCAAATTCCAGCTTTATTGCTATTTTTAATCCTAAAGTTACTCTTTCTTTGCTAGAAGACAGTACTGAAAGCAGGTGTGTTATAGATTGTGGTTCTCTACAAAAAAGGATATTAGGCCTTCACCAAATTTACCTCTGTTAATAAGGATTTTTTGAAAGCATGTTTGCATTTGATATGTAGGCAAACAATATATATGTCTGCTTTTGTACTTATTATTAACTTTTATATTACATATATTAAGGGAGCCGAAGTAGTCTAAGACATTTAATATGGTATTTCCAGAAATTTGTTGCTGCTTGAAGTATTTACCATAATAAGCAGATGTGAGATGGACAACCACATTAACTACAGTGATCAATAACTATGGTATGGAAATACAGCAACTATTAGAGTCTCTAGTAAACTATCTTATAAGTGCTATGTTATAATGACTGGGTGAATGGATTACTGTACAGATTACTGTACAGATTACTGTACTTCAAACAGAATTCATCAATCTTTCACAAAGTTGAACAAAAGTGTTTCCCATCTTGGAGTGCCAATCTTCCTGCCTAGGGACAGAAATTTCTATGCAAAAAGCTCTGAAATCTGTAATTTTTTTAGTGCTCACATGTTGTTCCAAAAGTTTTAGAATTTGGAGCATTTCAGATTTTAGTTTTTAGGAATAAGGATGCCCAAGTGGTAAAATCTATGCAAATATTCCAAAATTCAAAAAAACCTGAAATATAAAACACCCCTGATCCCTATTGAATAAGAACTACTAAATGTGTGTGTGTGTGTGTTCTATATTTCTCTGTACTAGATAGACATGTCATTTATTCATTCAGTGTAAGGATATTCCATGAGTACAGTTTGCCAAAAGATGGATAGATGTACCTGTAATGTTACATGGCTTGGTATTTTTCATTCACACAACTTCTATTTCATATAAAGTAGCCAAGTTCAAACCAGTCGTCAAGGTATTGTAACACTTCTGGGGAAAGATTCAGTCTTCCTGAGATTCTCAGTGAGGACATCCAGTTAGGCTTTTACTCTTCTTTCTTCCTCTTTAACCAGACTAGTAGCTCTGCCTGGCTCTATCTTACACTTGGAAAATCACCCATATAAAACATTATGAAAACCACTATGTTGCAAAGTAGTTTTCCTATAAAGACTTGTTAGCCATTGAAATTCTGAAAGAAAGCAGAATGTTCTACACTTCAAAGCAATTTGGGAGTCCTTGAGAAAGGGCTGGCTTCAAACAGTTCCACCATTGGGGTATTGAAAATATCTTGGGTAATATGCAAAAATTTGAACTTCTAGTTTGGAAAAATAATGACTCTCGGAAACATACCAGTCTATTTGTTGTTTGGAAAATAGCAATAAAATGCCCTTACAGATGAATTTCTTTTTGATGAATTAAAAGGGAGAAGCGACAAGGCATCATTGCAATGATTACTCTTCACTTTAATTTTTGTATGGTAGACTTAATTTGTATTATTAAATGTGATTTTTAAAAAGTTGCCTCGATCTTTCTTTATTAAATGTTATTCTAAACCATAGTAACCACACAGAGTAGGCAGATAATTAATTCCATTAATAATCAAAACACTCTTTGTAGGGATTTATTTGTATTCAAACACAGATTTGCATTATTAATGTTTTTGGCAGTCCACCATTTGTTGAGAAATACAACAAATAAAACTTCTAATAAAATCTGGCCTGTAGTGTCTTTGGGCAAAGATTTAATATAAAATCTACCCAAGTTGTTATCTTCAATGAGTATTATTATCAGTTCCAAAGCAGGACAGTTTTTAGTGATATAAAAATAAATATCCCCAGTCATATTTTGCTTCTGTAAGCAACTTTTACTAATCATGAGTTCCCGAAGTATTCAAAGCTGATAGATGCCTCCTGGGTAGCAGTGAAGATTGTTTTCAAAAGAGCATAATATTCATATGTTACCAGGCTTCACATTTAGGCAATGAAATAAATTTTATTTATTAAAATAAAAATATATTCTATAAAAGTTTTCATTAGATATTTCATTGTTTGAAATTTAATAAAATAAGACATGATCAAAGATTGATGACAAATAGTGCACTAGAAAATACACAATTGTTTTGATTCAGATTTGTTCAATTAAAAATACACACTGGGTTAAAGAAACATTTATTCTTTTTTAAAAGATTTTATTTATTTATTTGACAGAGTTACAAACAGTGAGAGAGAGAGAGACAGAGTGAAAGGTCTTCCTTCCATTGGTTCACTCCCCAAATGGCCGCAACAGCCAGAGCTGCACTGATCTGAAGCCAGGAGCCAGGTGCTTCCTCCTCATCTCCCACGCAGATGCAGGGGCCCAAGCACTTGGGCCATCCTCTACTGCTATCCCAGGCCATAGCAGAGAGCTGGACTGGAAGAGGAGCAACTGAGACTAGAACTGGTGTCCATATGGGATGCCGGTGCTGCAGGCGGAGGATCAACCCAGTGCCCCACGGCAACAGCCCCGAAACATTTATTTCTACTTCTGTAATTAGACTGATCAACAAGTGTGAGGTTCTTCAAAATGTTTTTGGAAAAACAGAATAAAAGATGTTTATTTTGATGTAAAATTCTTTGAAATCCATACATAGGTTTTACATAATATGCACTTCCCATGAAATTTTTGGAGAATCCCTATATTCATAAATGAATCAAATAAGTGGATTTCTAAGAGTGTTGGCATTTACCTATACATGAGGGGCAAGATTGGGATGGTTTGGAGAGCAGATTTTGCCTCCAATTGAGGAGACTGGGTTATGCTCCTATGTATTCTATCCATAGAAACTGGACAGAGACAAACTTGACTTGATCAACCTGGTCTGGTACCAGGGTCACACAGTCTGAATGGTTAACTCATAGCAGATACCTAATGAATCTTTTGCTTGAATATATTGGAGAGATAGGATTTTTTAAAATTAAACTTAATTTGTTATGCTTAATTTTTAGAATTTCAATGGCATCAAGAGAGGGAGAGAGGGAGAGAGAGGGAGTAAGCTCCCACCATTTTACTCCTCAAATGCCC